GTATTGTAAGAAATACCTAGCCTGTTAAAAGATGTCGCCTTATTTTTTTAAAGAAACTTCTAGTAGTAAGACTTTTGTCTATACGATAAAGTGACAATCTATGTCGATATTATATTAAACAATGATTGCTAGGAAAAAGGAAGACCTCCAAATGCAAATTATAAATCGGAGATACCAAAACCAAAATTTTAATATATGGGATGTCTTTTAACAGACAACGAAAAGTGTTTAACTGAAATCGGAAGGTGTATTGGGATAGCGAAAGTTGCCTCCCGAAAGCCAAGCAGAAAAACCTAAATCTCCTTTTAAAAAAAGAGAAAAGATCACTGAAGTGTTACGTGATGTCTGTCTTCCTATATTGCAGTGAATGCTCAAAGATGAAAAAGAGACTTGAAGCAACAAAAATGTGTTTCTACAGAAGGATGCTGAGGTTACCGAGGACCGATTACGTGAGCAACAGCGAGGTTTTAGAGAAAATGAAAGCAAAAAAGGCACTTATACTTAACATCATTAGGAGACTGTGGAAATATCTCCGGCACATAATGAGGAAAGAGAGCTTGGAAAATCTGATACTCACAGAACGGAGTGAAGGCAAGAGGAGAAGAGGAAAACAAAGCATAACGTATTTAGTGATCTTCAGTAAATGGATAATGCAACAGGGTTTAGGAGAAATAGCAAAAAGATAAAATTTATTAAGAGCTACAAAGGACAGGAAGTTGTGGAGGGTCATCAACGTCTACGTCCTAAGAGGAAAAGACTCATTAAGAAGAAGATTTCATTTATTGAAAGCTAACTCTATTACAGCAATGGATTCAATATAACTGTTATTGTCCGGTTCCTTGTACCCCGGGTGATAGTCCAAGGTAGAACCAATAAAGAAGAACTCGAACACGGATATGGAATAACACAGATATATTACAAACAGGAATATATACAGAGAGGTAGAAAGTGTTAGTACGAACAATCAGGTTTAGTAGTAATTGTCTGAACGCGACTCTGTTTCGGACTGCCTCTGACTCGACTGACTGACTCGCTCTGACTGACTGACAGACTCCTGACGGACTTCACTCCAGACTTCAGACGGAACAGTATTTAGTCCCCCCCCACGAGGGAATCATATGGCACAAGGCCGGTTTGACGTAGGATCTCCCAGTCTATGGGCTCGGCCAAATATATGCTCTTTGAACCCGTATAAAAACGGGTTCAGGGTCGGTTTACCTCCCCGAAAGAGACTCCGCCCTTCGGCGTAGCCTCGTTCGGGTTCCTCTCCGCCCGAAGGTAGAGAGTTCAACCGATCAGCCGTGCAGCCGGTCGCCCGACTTCGGACTGAACTCCCTCTTGAGGCGCAGTATTTATTATGTATGGAATAGTCCATCCTGTTATTATGGGTAAGGTCCCATAACAATAACCGACTTTTTTAGAGTTTGGTTTTGGAGGTATTAAATGTTACAAACCGATTCTTCCCCCCATTGAGCCGTGCGAGTTCGGTCAGATGAGAGATCGAGTGCCAGGTTTTGATCATATAGAGTTTTGATGGTGCTCCCATAAACCGTGGTATCGTATTTACGAGAATGCTCCCCAGCAGATCGTTAATATACATGATATTCCCAACAAATTGACTTCATTTAAAATGGGAATTTCTGAGTAACTACACGTCCAATGGCAAACCAAATTAAAGAGATTTTCTGTTGAGTAATAAAATACTTATTTTATTAAAATTCGAACAACAAATGGATGTAGATTTCATAAAGTGGATGTAGATTTCATAAAGATATAGATTTCATAAGCTTTTCCCAAATCTTTAAAAATATTCAATATGCGCACCTCCTCTGACACGACACACAACGAGCCGATAGACCAGATCCTGTCAAACATGCTGTAGCGTGTCTTGCGTAACATTCTCCAGCGCCTCAGTGATTCTCTGTTTAAGTTCCTCTAGGTTTGTATGAAGGGATATAGACATGTACTTTCCCATAGCCCCATAGATAAAAAATACAAGCTGTCAAGACAGATGAACGTGGTGGCCTTTTCAACAGTACATTGTGATTATCACTAGTACTCACGACCTATCTTCCTGGTAGATTCTCATTGAGATACGCCCGCATAGTCGACTTAGTTTTTACACATTGGGCACAAAACGTCTGTATGCTGACCTAATTGAAAAACATATACAAAAATAGAAAGAGATGTAAGTAATCGGATTTATGAAACCAATAATCTGAAGTGTATTTATAAAAACTACCAAAAAAATACAACGTGATGAAGATACACAGATGAAGGTATTCTTATGGCAATGTCAGAATGGAAGTTGCAAGAACTTCTAGACAAAAACACATCGACAAAGTATAGAAAAGCGAGACGAAAGGATAATTAAGAAGAGTAAATATATATTAGCAAGACTGATAACCCTAAGTATGTGGTACGAATTGAAGGAGTTATAAACAAGCACGGAGGTTTAACTATCTGTGACACAGAGATCCGAAGGCGTATTAGAATAGTAAATGATGCTTTCCTGAGGCTACATGATATCGTACAACAACTTCCCCGGTCGTCCAAGACTTCCAACACCACGGCTGATTGATGAAAATCGCTTCGATCTCAGACCTACCCTATCCCACGTTGTGATTTATGTTTGATCATAAGGAGGCCAAGATCAAATCGTTGAAGCTATTTTCGTATAGGGCTTGTCCAAGCAGGGCGAAGATATACAAGGAAAAAATAACACTCGAATAAATTGAACAGAAGTAAATCCTTTTTATGTCAGTCCTTCGTACAATAAACGGTTATATCAGAGTTCGCATGCAATTAATTATCAGCCTAACCCGCATCTAAATGGTGATAAAGTGATAATATTGTTGACCTGGTGAAATCTGGTTTGCTGCTTTAGTAAAGTTTGGCACAAGGCTGAAGTCAGAGGCTTTTGTCGGCAGATAATCGCGTGGGCCTCTCTCCAGTCTCTGGTCTGGTCTCAACTCCGTCTCTTCCGCCTCTATTCTCTCTTTTGCTTAATTCGCTTCGTGCATTCGTATTTATGGTCATTCGCCTAAACTAGAGAAATAAGAGAATTCGATAATTCTTCCACTCACTCGTATCATTACCTCTCACTAAATCTCCTCAGTGAATGTGAGCTGCTTATCCGCACCTTCCTGGTATTTCAACTCATCTTTCAACAGGAGAATTAGGTCCAAATTCGTTGTCTACAAAAAATGAAATTTTCGCTTTGCAGATTGCATTTTCAGCTGTGTGTCAACAAACATTCCCCCCTAAGTCTTAGTCACTTTTCCATTGTCGTGTGTCTCGAAAAGGATCTCCAATCGGTTGTGAACTGGGACAGGAATTGGCTTGTCAACTTTAATGCTTCAAAAACAAACCTGCTCTCTATTAATCCCCACAGAGATCCTTCCCTGCCCTCCATTAGAATGTCTGACGCTCAACTTCTCGATAGCACCTCTCTCCGGCTGTTCGGTCTAACGTTGCCTGCTGACCTGAGATGGAACAAATACATTGAGTCAATTGCTTCGTCCACCGCAAGGAAAGTTGTCTCGCTGCGCAGCGCCAGGAAATTTTTCTCCCCGGAATCGATCCTTCAGATCTACAAATCAACAATTCGCCCTTGCATGGAGTATTGCTTCTATATATGGTCTGGAGCCCCTTCTGTTTGTCTCGGGGTTCTTGATAAGCTCCAGAGGCGAATATGCAATATAATTGGCCCTGTTCCGGCATCTCGTCTACAGTCGCTCTCTCACAGACGCGCCGTCGACTCTCTCTGTCTTTTTTACAAATACTTTCATGGCTCCGAGGGGCTGCATTCGCTGGTTCCCAGACTTCATGAATTCAAGCGCCCTATGAGGCTGGCATCCCGCTCTCACCCTTTCACTGTCGAAACTGTTAAATGTAGCCGTCTCTTCTACTCCAATAGCCTCATGTCTCGCACCTCTCGCCTGTGGAACACCCTTCCCTATTCCAGTTTCCCTGAGAGCTATAATCTCCAACTATTCAAATGTAATGTCAATCGACATCTCCTGTTGCCTTGATCTATCCATTATCCTTCTCTTCATCCTTTCCTCTATTACTCCTCTCTGATCTTGCTCCAAATCTTCTGTAACCCCTTGCGTCCTAGTGGCTTCCCGCCTTGCTTGGGGTGAAACGCTTAAAAAAAATGCTCGACACAAAATTCAAGTCATTTGTGTGCAATCCTCAATTCTTCCCACAGGCTTTTTTGTATTAACCCTTTTCGTTTCAATGTCTTTCAGCACATAGCACCTTCTTATGTTTTAACAAAACTTTCTTCCGTTTTACAGCGGCAACGACAAATATTATCACATACACAAAGATAGAAAAAATTCGTTAGAACAAACAAGAAAATATTAAACGATGTAATATCAATCCACTTATTGAGTAGATAATTTTATCCCAAATGACGATGACGCTTTAAGCGACAAAATGTGTTTCTTCAGAAGAATATTACGATAACGATGGTTTTGTCACTTTACGGCTTATCTATGTTATTTTCAAGCGGAAACATATTTTCATAACGATATTTCGTTCTTGCGAGTATCTATTGGATTAACAGTTTTTGAGAATAACTGTGATTTTTTTCAGATAGCAGTCCTGCTATTTAACCCATAGCTAGGAGAAAATGGATTTCTACTTTCCCCAAAGGTATTTGCATGAAAGGGAATGTAACGAACTCGATTAGAATTCGAACTTGGCTCTTCAATTTCTAATTGCGAACCGCTATCCACGACACGACCCACACCTTGACTACCAACCACGTGAATAAAAAGAACTGTTCTTGGAATCCCCCCAAAAAACATTGAAATTTCTGGGATACATAATGATAATACAAATCGGACAATTTAACGTTCACATGTCATTAAATGCATGACAGACAGAACTAAGCAGCGAGGGACCTGGGAAACGTTGCTTGGCGCTCAAAGGAGAGTAAGATGTGGTGAGATCCGGTCGACCACATCCTTAAGGAACAACACGCGTAAAAGATGCTTTTTTTTCTACTTAGGACGAAGAAAAAACTATCTTGGAGTAGGGTGAAAGAATTTTCGAAAAAGCAAAGTCCAATCAATTCGATTGCTGCTGATGAAATTCCATCGTTGTAGATGATACCACGTTCCGCGAGGACTTGTATTTCAATCGATTATCTAAACTAAATAGAATGATATAAATCAAGGTTTCCCAACGTGAGCCACATGACCCCATTGTAAGCCATGATATATTTTCAATGCCTACGAGGACAAGTTTGAAAATTTAGGAACTACAAAATGTATATAGAGAGTATTTTTAATTACTAATTATTATTTAAAATAAAATATTAAATTTATTAAGTTAAATATTAAATTAATCGAAGCCATATTGTGCAACATAAATATTTATTTATTGTAATTTTTCCAACTGATCTATGCAAAATTACCGTTTTTAGCTTCAAATTACTTAAAATTTAAAACTTATAATTTAAAGTTGAAATTAAGCTTTCAATTTTGAAAGGTAAATGTCCTGAGCAAAGAGCTCCAAGGAAATGACTCCATTTTGTTTTCCTGCAAGGAGGCAATTAACGCATCTAACAGTAAACTAAAGCTTTTTCTGGTTGAACCTTGAGAGACGGGAGTTTGCACAGTTCCCTTCCATAGTAAATATATCAACCGAGCTGTTTGATTATGACCTAGCAATGTATGGTGATCATTTGATCCAGTTGCATAATGATATGAAAACTCACTTCTCTAATCTACTCCTAATGAGAGTGCCGCACTGGTTTGTGGATCCCTTGAAGTTGACATGAGTGACCATAAAGAACTCGATTGCAGGGGACCACGGCCAGAATAAGATGGAGAAATATTGATGTAAATGATTACATTTTTATCTAAGTGTAGTATATAAAGTTACAAAGGACATGACATTTTGAAGAGGCATGATCGCCAACGTCCCGGAGGAACGTGCCACATAGTAGAAGAAAAAAATAGAGACACGAATAAGCGAAAATTGTATTTGATTAGCTTCTTTGAACGAGGGTGATAAGAAATCCTGAATTCTGTTGCTATTCACCGGTATTAATGTTTCTATTCAAATTAAAACAATAGCGTCACATACACGATTGCATGTCTCATCTCCAACGGCGAAAAATTGCAATATCTTCTTTTGTGTGTGAAGCCTTTGTTCCAGAATGTTGTCTTCCCGTGATTTGCGGGTTTGCTAATTATGAGGATATCGAAACATCAAAGGAAAGAAATTGATTTGAATATCGTGAGCTGACACCCACAAAAGGTTATCTCATTTTGACGTCAAATGGCTGTAGTCCGCCAAACATTTTACTCTCTAATGTCCTATGTACACGTTCATGCCTATATCCCATTAGAAATGATCGTTTAAGATCCTGAAATATGATTGGCTATTGTCTAAATAACTATACCAAGATGGAGCTACACTCTTGGGTTAAAGTAATGATCTGGGGGAAAACTGAAAACGCGAAAAGTCAATAGATTTAATGAATGTAATATGACAGAAAAACACAGGTCTCTGACATATACGCTTCCATTGTGAAACGGTATTTGTTGTTTAAGGAAACTTGATATTTTCCCGCTCGATTTTTCCCGCTAATACGAGGGTAGGTTAAAAATTATACGCACTTCCAGCATAAGATATATTTAAGTTTGTCACTCTGCTTTCTGTTAACGTGATCGAAGTTTGAGCCTGATCACGCCAGTTTTCCTACGGCATGTACAGTTCAAACATAGCCACTCCACTTGCAGTGGTGAAAATAATAGTTTATTGATAAAGTCTTACTAATTAACCCATAGCTGGGGAAGAAGAGGTGATTTCATACCTTTCTCAAGGGCATTTGCACGTAAGTGAATATAACGAAACAACGGGAATTAGAACTCGTCTATTTGATTAAAGATTCTAAGCCCTATTGCACCAACCGCACATCCAAGGCACCAGTATTCCTATGTGGTCACCTATTTAGATGATGACCAGTCTCAATGTTGCTTAACGTCGAAGATTTGTACGGGAACCGGTATTTCAACGTGATGAACACGTAGAAAGAATTCTACAGAATAGATTTACACACACACACACACACACATACATATAGAGGTACACACACACACACACACACACAAACACATGTATAGTGAACGATGGATAAATTGTCGTCTAAATTTCACAAAAAAGAATAACATTGGCATTTCATTTTAACAGATATATTTACCAAAATTACGAAAAAATATCTCGAAATAGTAAAGAATTTATTCAATAAAAACGACATAGGCTTTAACGACGGCTTTGTTTAAGTTGGTAAATGCTACCATAATCCTTATCTTCAGTTCACCTTTGATTTTACAAGTAGTTTTGTTGTGTCATGGTGCTGAGTCCTGTTGCGAGACATAGGGTCTTCCAACTGTCACTCTCTTGGCCCAGATAGCACTATCTCTTGAAGGCATTTGATGTAGCCATCCGTGTTGAGCCTGTGACCCCGTGGGAAGATGAATGGAGGCCTAACGACGTCGTCAAAAGTGATCACTCCAAACACTTTCGTAATCACCCATTAGACTGATCCGACTTTTTTCGAAATCTCTGCACTATCCGCAGATTGTTACCCAAACACTCTGAAATATCAATATTGGAGATTTCGGCGCAAATGTCAAGCAGTACAGCATGCAGTTTGCAAATTTCTGTCGGAGTGATTTGAGCTTTTTGGACATAATGATGCACAGAAAATTTAGTGCAAGAAAAGTGAAAATAATTTAAGGAAAATCTATTTTAATTTAAGGGTGGTTCGGTTTTAATTTAAGACAGTTTATGTATACAATATATGTTACTTGCAAAGTCGGGTTAATATGTCCGGTATTGAACACTTCGTCCATTATCAAATGAGATTGGCTGAAAACTTCACGAGTATTGGGCTTGCCGATTTATTTTTGCTGTTATGTTACGGAGAGAAAACATTCGAGACAAAATAATAAAATAATGTTTTTTCTAATATTGTATGATGCTGCACGCCTTGAAATCTTCAGAGAAACTGGACCGATATAAAACAAAATAATTAACGATCGTTACGAGACGTTCGAGGACAAGGTATTTGAACCGGCTTTCCTTGAAATGGGATCGTATAGCACAAGACATGACAAGATAAATTTCAGCCTGAGAATATATGTAACATTTGGCAGATTGAACTGCAGTAGACGGTAAAGGCGTGAGAACGTGATCGCCTCATCTATCTTATCTAAAGCATGGCCTGCTATTCATCTGTCATTTCATGACGGTAAGCAATTTCTCAATCCCACAAAGACATACAGGAAATTTACGTCAGTTTTGTGAAATACGCAGGTCAGTGCCAGGCATGTAGTGCCATATTAGACTAAAGATAAACCCGTAAAGATAAATCTGTGAAAATAAAGATAATCTCTAGAACGATATAGAGAAATGGCTACAGAAATGAACTAGTATTTTTCGAATCACCTACGTGATGCTTGTCGCGCAATCCTAAAATTAATATACGACCTTCTTCTGCCAATATATATATATATATATATATATATATATATATATATTGAAGAAAAATATATACGGAAAAAACAAACAAAAATCCTTATATACAATTTATACTGTTTTAATTTTAATATGTCAACGTCGGACGTTTCGGTCTAATAAACCATCTTTAGGACATAGTCATAAATTATAACATTATCAATACAACATGACAATATATATATTATGAATTAATTGATTTAAAATATGTTTTTTTTCGCTACACAGTTCTAACCATGTTTAAAAAATGGAAGCTGAAAACTTCGAATTTAATTTTGTAATTAAATTAAAGACATTAGTTTCATTTCATCCTCAAGCGAATTTTGGAGTAACTTTTAAATTGACTGGGATTTTAAAGACACAGTTTCTCTGTATCCTTGGAAACGCGAATTATGATTTTTGCTGTGTCTTTAAAACACAGCAATTTTAGAATCTATCTATCTGTCTATCTACCCTTCTATTTATCTATTCTTAACACAATTTTTTCTCTCATGTATCTATCTATTTTTTTATCTATTTACTCTTTACGCATATTTTCTCATATCTATCTGTGTATCCATCTGCGTATCTATATATCAATCTATACATAAATATTGTCCATTTTTCTATCCATCTACTCTTATTTTTCTCATATCTATTTCCCCTTTACACATATTTTCTCATAACAATCTATGTCTCTCTATCTGTCTACAATGTACACGTATTTTCTTATATCTATCTATCTATCTATCTATCTATATTCACGTTACAGATATTCTTCTCATATCTATTTATTCTTTACGCATTTTTTTCATAACAATAAATTTATTTCTCTATCTACCTATATATATATATATATATATATATATATATATATATATATAATTAATTGGCTACCTACTCTTTACACATTCTTTCATATCTATCCATCTATCTATCTACCGACTCTTCGACATAGGGTTGTCATATTTATCTATTTATTCTTTACATATTTTATGCCATCTCTCTCCTATATATATATATATATATATATATATATATATATATATATATATATATATATTTGTATATTTAGGCAGCAATCCTTCCTTTATGCATGTTTCATTAAAAACGACAGACAAGGTACTACGGTTGAGCTTTTTATTTAATTTTTCTTGTGTTCTGACAAGAGCTCTCTGGACAAAGGGTGTGTAAGAACTGTCCGAATATTCTATATTTCCGAGCGCTTTCGGCTATACCTTTAGCCATTATCAAGGATGATTCGATTATCAGCTTAGTAGAGTGTGTGTGTTCTGTGTATGTTCAGTGTGTGGTTTTGATGTTTTTAGTTTCCGAATACGGTTAGCACATTGTGGCTTTGTTCATAGTTAATATTGTTAAGAGTTGGCTTTTTCTTTTTTATTATTAGAGCTTCCATTATTTTTAGTTTTTTTTGCAAGTGGATGCAGTTAATATATTTGTGTTTTCTACTAGTATGTTCCTAATGGTGTCGGGTAAATCTGAGTGTGTGTTTAAATGTGTTCTGATGGAGCTGTGATCAGATAGGTGTAATGTAAGGCGTCTGGATAAACATGTGGTTGTGTAGCCGATGTAATTATTTATGAGTCCGGTTTGGTGAGGAACTCAGTTCCTTAAAGGGCATTTGAACTCATAGATAATGTTCGATCTTTGTAATTTTGATTTAGTTGGTGTGTTGTTATTTTTGAGGATAAGGTTGGCCGTCTTAAATTTTTTTATAATAGATAATAAGTTTGATTTTTTTTTTATTCGGATCAATAGGAGTAGTATATTTCTTTATAATATGCCTTTAGAGAAGATTCATCTTGTTTGTAATTAATATGCATTTGGTTTTTGTAATAAATGTGTACGTGATTTTTTAGCTGTGTGTTCGCTATCGTTATTATTTGCTTTGGGGAGGAATAGTCTAATTTGTTGGTCTATAAGGTAGTTAGGGAAACCGTTGTGTATATATATATATATATACATATATATATATATATATATATATATATATATATATATATATATATACTCTTTACGCATATTTTCTCCTATCTATCTACTCTTCAAAAATCTTTTCCGATATCTATCTCTATTTCTATCTATCTACTCTTTACACATACTTTTCTCATAACTATATACTTATCCATCTATCCACACTTCACACATATTTTTGTCTATCTATCCATTTCTCTCTCTCTCTCTCTCTCTCTCTCTCTCTCTCTCTCTATCTATATTTCTACTCTTTACACACATTTTTCTTATATCTATCTATGGCGTTAAATTTAGCAATAAAAAGAGACAGCGCTTTAATACGTGCGTGGTCTGAAAAGTCCATAGGCTGATTGGAGTAAATGATATGAAATCTCACATGCCTTAATTTAAAATCTTGTTATTAATAACTGAGTTGATTCTTTCCAAGTAAACTGATATCTGATTATTCAATGAATACTTTACTTGATTTCTCTTTAAAAAAAAAAAAAAAAAAAAAAAACAGGACAAAAATTTGGCATCATGGTGTTATCAATCGGAAGACCATCATGCAAGGCATTGTTTACGTTGAACGTCGGAGAGGATGCCAACGCCAAAACTGGTTGGACCACGTCAAACAATGGACAGGTATAACTATACAAGAAGTGTTGATGGCTACCGTTGAAAGTAGGAGATTCGTTATGGCTTCTGCATTCGAATCCCCACTACGATTACAAAAGTCAAGGGGATGATGATGATGATGATGATGATGATATCTAGTGCATGCAGATAAAGTGATTATCTTTCAAGGCCATTCACGATGACATGGAGAATGACGTTCCACTCTTATCAACAGTGCAAAAGTGTGTAGGCGAATCTAAGGGAGTGAAGATAACCCAAGATCTGGTGTTCTGCAACTGCTACCATTGATCGTATTCACTACATGGTGATGGATGACAGGCCATTGGCTATAAATCCATTAACCCATCCTATTATCATATTTCGTGAGAGAGTTGAAAATGTTGACAAAGTGAACGAAGGTTTTCTGCTCGGTGGGGGCCACAGCTTCTGGCACCTGATCAAACGTACACTAGACTGATCACGTCATGGGGGAGTCTGATATCGATATTTAGCAATTCCAGCTGGTTTCCTTGAAATTCTGTTAACCCAGGATGAACATTGGGTTCATTACTGAGTTCGCGAAACAAAGACAATCCATGCAGTGGAAATACCCTTCCTCACCTGCACCAAAGTAAACCACTGCATTTTCATCTACTTAGAATGTGATGGCCTAATGAAAAATTCATTGTATTTCTTGACTTAGGGGCCCACCCCATCATTGGAGAATAATCTGCCAAATTGTTGAGGCCGTAACGAAATTCTATTAAGGGCAAACCCGCAGTAAAACTGACCAAAGGTTTCATGTTTCATCAGGATAACGTTCCAGAACAAAAATTACTGGTGCCAATGTCTACAGTGTATGAATGTGGCTTTATTCTCCTGATCTGGCTATCATTTTCCCCAACATGAAAGAAAAACTTGACTGGAATCGGTATATCCGTCATATTGGGATACTATTTGTTGTTATACAGTGATATAAGATCCTAGAAAATTTTCTTATCAATAGAAAGTGTTATGTGCTGACAGACATTGAAATAAGAATGTTTAATACCAAAAACCCGTGGGAAGAATTGAGGAATTAATTCACATATAAACGACTTGAATTGTCTGTCGAGCAGTTTGAATAATGGAAAAGTGACCCGGACTTAGGGGGCAATGTTGATGGACAACACAGCTGCAATCGCAGGCTGTAAAGCGAAAATTTCATTTTTCGTAAACAATGACTTTGGAGTTGATTCCCTGGTCGAAAGTTGAAATACCAAGAGGAGATTTAGTGAGAGGTAATAATATGAGAGAGTAGAAGAAGGGAATTCCCCAGAATTATCGAATTCTCTTACTTCGCCATTTTGGGCGAATGTCAATAAAAACGAATACGCGAAGCGAATTCGGCAGACGAGTCGCAGAAGAGAGAAGTGAGGAAGAAGAGACGGAGACGAGATCAGAAACAGTAGAGAGGCCCACATGAGTATCTGATGGCGAAAGCCCCCTTACGAAAGCCTTGTACCAAACTTTGCCAAGTCAACAACGATAATATTTGGACGCAGGTCGGGCTGATAATTGTATGCAAATTCTGATACAAACGAATTATTGTACGAAGGAGAGATATAAAAACAGTATTTACTTTTCTACAATTTATTCGAGTGTTATTTTTTCCCTATGTGTCTTCGCCCTGCTTGGGCCAGCCCTGCACGAAGATACCAGCGACGATTCTATCTTGGCTGCCTTATGATCTAAAAACATAACAACGTGGGATAAGATAGAGCTCGGGATTGAAGCGGTCACTTCAGCGGCCAGCCACGGTGTTGGAAAACTTGGACGACCCGTTGTACGGTTACAATATGAGCTGTGGATGACTTTCTTGACCAACAGGATGAACAGTCTTCTATGAATAGTCAGATGTTAGTTTACCTGGAAGGAAACAATGCAGTTATAAATAAGAAGAGTTGAGATTAACGCGCGCAAGTTATCACAGCTCCAGAATCCCTCCTTCAAAGTCAGCATATGAACCTTTCAGTCCGCACCCGGAGAAAGAAATAATCTTAAATATTCAGCTTATCTCGTATTTTGGTAAGTATGATGTCAGCTTACCAGGGGTTTCATAATAAGATTTTATTCTCAGCACGCCCATGACGAGCATATATCCTAAATCCCCTTGGCGAATATTCGATACATGAACATGAAATTTAATTCAGTTGTTGGCTATCTATCTATCTATCTATCTATCTATCTACTCTTTACACATATTTATCTCTCATCTATCAATTTATCTTCACACAAATTTCTCATGCCTATCTATATTTTTCTTTATCTACTCTTTAGACATATGTTTTTATATCTATCTATCTACTCTTCACACATATTTCCTCATTTCTATCTACTTTCTCTATATCTATTCTCTCTCTCTCAAGTATACATATATATATATATATATATATATATATATATATATATATATATATATATATATATATATATATATATATATCAATATATAGGATTATATATATACAGGAATAAACCAACAATTACTATTCTTAAAATATATATATATATGCTCAATACAGATATATTTACATATATATCTCTTTATCCAACAATCTATCTAGTCTTTACACAAGTATATATATATATATATATATATATATTTTTGTCATATCTATCTATCTACTATTTACAAATATTTTTCTTGCATCTACCTATCCTCACACCTATTTTCTCATGTCTATCTATATTTCTATGTATCTACTATTTACCCATATTTTTCTCATATCTATCTATCTATCTATCTATCTACTTTTCACACATATTTTTTTCTGTCTATCTATCTATCTGTCAACGTATTATCTAGAAATGTTGTTCATGGGTGTCGCAGGGAAATTGGATATTGCCCTGAAAAAAAATGCAAAGAATTTGGAAATGATTAAAAGGTTTCCTAAAATGAGAGTTTGCTTTTTTCGTCTCTGTATAATTAAGAGTTTCATTTAAACTACAACCTCTAAACAAAGGACAAACAGGTCCCAAGTTGATAGCAATTGCTTGACACTCATTCTTACCGCTAATTACGATCGCCCGTCGTAAGGTATAACTGTAACTTCGCATGGCTCGTTTCTCGCGCTAAAATGGCTATCAATTCGCTTGGCTGCAACATTTGCTATTGGATGAAAATTCGCATTCAGGTGTGTTGCGGTTTTAATTAACCAATGATTTTCATTCAACTTTCAGGCGTTTAAAGAACGACATACAACGAAAGGATTGCTGCTTGCGCCATCGGATTGGCAATTGCAATTTGGGTAAATTTTACTACAACACGAATGTATTAAATGCGGCTACCTTTCTTAGGATGTAAAAAGATTTATTAAAGGAGATATTATTCGCTTCTGAATTTCGGAAACATGTTTTTTCTTTTCTGTTTTTTTTACTTAAAGATCACTTTTAATATTTATTATATTTGTCTCTAGTTCTTTAATCTTTGGAGTCGTGAGATGGATAAAGAGAACGTAACAGAATGTTTTTAGTGTATGCATTTGGAATATATAGACACAATTGGAGAGTCTGCATCCTGGTTATCAATAAAACCTTTCAGTAAAATTAAAGTTATATAATCTACATATAAACTTCTGTGACTTCCGTTAGCACGTCCTTCCATCCTTCACACTCTGTACAATCTTCATATATTAAGCGACCGAAACTAATTTTTGAGGATAAGTGAAAGCAGGCAAGAGGATGCAATGTACAGTTGATTTTACTAGAATGCATACCCTACTAAAAATAAATGCTCATTTATTTTTGGAGGGAAAATTAAACGTTTTATTATTTAACATAAAAAAAATCACTTCCAGTATTTAAAACCAATTTAATGATTAAAATAACAATTAATGTTTTAATAAAAATGCAACATTATTTTTTGCACATCTTTCTTTAAGTTTTATTTACCAGAATCGATTTTCCAATTCGCCTTGCGTTTGCGAGAACTATAAATGAATCACAAGGCCAAACGCTTCTAAAAGTTGGAATTTAGCTCCAGAAAGAAAGAAGTCGACTATATTGAGATTCGAAATGAATGTTCAGAAAGCGATCATTCGGCCACGTGTCCACGAAAGTAAATTTAATTGCTAAAAATATATATTTTTGTATAGCGATAATGATAAATTCCAAATTTATTCCCCAACGATTCTTCGTCGTTTTTTGTTTCTTTTTCACAACATTTCTAATATATTACAAATTTGCCTTTCTTCAGGTTTTTGTAAATCACAAAGGATTAAATCGGCATCAAGACTTTCAAAAAGGAAACAAAACTGACGTTGTCTGTATTATAATTAACATTGTGCTTACATAGTAGCAAGGTAAAATGGAAATGTTCCATAATATTGCAATTAAAGATACTGTTGATAAAATATAATCCCAATATATATATATATATATATATATATATATATATATATAAAATAAAAATCCGTGGGTAAGTAATCCAAGTAGATCCTAATAATATAAAATATTAAAACTGATCCACAAAAGAGAGCTCAATATATATATTATAGAGCTTATAAAGAAATTACATAAAAATAATTATTGAGGGTGGGGAGAAATACCCGTCAAAATGGGGTACAACTGAGTTCCATTGTTATGTAATTCATACGTATATATTGTTGTGGATTCCGGGATGAAATACGGTACCAATAAATAACAAACGCCAAGAATGAATATAGGAAAATAATGTATTAACGTAATAATACAAACTGGTAAAGCAGGTTAGTAGTTCCAGGAATGCGGGTTAGTAGCAAAATATCTATAGAGTCTTTGGTATTGAAGTATCGCTGTATGACTTCTTACTGAGTCTACGTGCTCGCTCACGGTGAGTCTGGCTTGCTACGTTCGTTCTGTCTGTCTGTTACCTTCACCTTCTGTCGGTTACCTACAACGCTGTTACCCCACCCTCACTCTTCCGGTTATCTACAACCTTTCACTCTCGGGTATTCACGCAGCAGTAGTATATGTATATACTGGGTGAGGGCAATTGTGTAAAACGGGGAGGACCCCTCAACATATATATATATATATATGGTCAGTGCTCAGCGGCGAGTCCGTTTCATGCTCAAACGCAGTCTTCAAGCCATGAAACAAACTATTGCCACTGAGTGTTGACCTCAGCGTCCACTTTCATAATTGCATATGCTATATTCCTGATATTGAGTACTTTTAACCCATGAACATCGCATGCATCAAAAAAACTTTTATTTTATATATATATATATATATATATATATATATATATATATATATATATATATATATATAGAGAGAGAGAGAGAGAGAGAGAATTAAGAGATCAGCCGATTACGCTACCTTGATTTCAAATTTCGATATCTTCAGGCGATTTCGGTCAATTGCTTTCCTAATGCTTTATTTATTTAAAAAAAAAATTATGTATGATATATTAATAAAAAAATAAACAAATAAGCGTGAGGTACAGTAGTAGGTGGAGAGGTGATAAGGGGATAATTAAGTGTATAGGACATGTATCGGTGGAAGATTAATCGAAATATGAAGAGTTTCTTTTCATCCCACTTCATTTGAACTTACATGGAACGTTTTCGTATGTAAAGAATGGGACATAATTTTTTAATCTCTGGCTTAAAGCTTTTTTTGGTCTGGAAATTTTATTATGAATATTTTTTTTTGATAATGTCGGTAGACGTTGCTATAATTATTGTAAGATTTTGCTTGTTTGGCTAGTTTTGTAGAATTCCTAAGGTTTTCTAGCTTAAAAGATAACTTATGATTGTACCACCACTTTTTAAAGTTACCCTCGGTACACCCTATGTATATTTTTATCTGTCTATTTGTATCTATAACGTCTGCTTTGTAAATTACTTCTTCAGTTTTGCAAACTCCATTTAATGGACATATGCTTTTATTTCTACACCTGCATATTTCACTGTTAACAATGTTATGCGTCACGTATATTTTTGAAACTTCTGGCTTTTTGTCTTTTTATTTTGGTTTCTAAATTACTAGTACAGCTGTAGCTTAATTTAACTGTGTTTTTATTAAATGTTTTATGGAATTCGGAATTTTTGGGGATGTGTTTTTTAAAGTAATTTGAAAAATATTTTCCGTATTTTACACTTGAACTTAAGTTAAACGGGTCGGGGAGTTTAAACGAAATATTTTACTTTTCCATGAATTTTTCTTCATCAGTTGTTTTATTTGCAACTAGCAGTAGAGCCCGGCGTTACCCGGGGATGTAACAGTAAGAGAGAGATCAAGTATCCACCATCATAAAGACTAAAAAATAAAATTGACAAAGATTAAGTTTAAGGTTGACGGACACGCATGTCTTAATTAGTTTTTTTTTTTCTTTATGAATTTAAAAACCCAAACTCAGAGAAAAACATTGTTTTTCAATCGTTATGAGACTATCGATTGAATATAATTTTATTATAAACAATTGTCTTGTAAATGGAATTTTTAAAGCACTCTGAATGTAAAAATAAAAAAAAAGTGTTAAGAAACACTACCCAAAAAAAAAGTGATGTTTTGTTGAAATCGGTTGAAAAATGTTCCGATCCCATATATAAATGAACACACACTGGGCACCTCGGCGTGGTGTAATGGTTGCCTCTAGATCAGTTACGACTGAAAAGTGAGTTTTCACTAGATGCCCTATACTTTCGGCCTTTGCCACATCTTACGCTTGGAAAATAACTATAAATGAACACACAAACAACCTGGGTTTTATAATAAGTATAACTCGATATGAGTTGTCTCCCTTTCATTCTCGCGACGCCTCTTAATCGTGTTTTCAAATTGATTTCATGCAAAAACAATTGTGTTTTTCCAATTTTGGGCGCTGTCAGAACCAACGCAAAGTAATTTTACGTAGTCCTCTGAAGTGTTGTTGAAATCTGTTGAAAAATGTAGGAAATCCGATCCAATATATAAACGAACAGACACACACACATACAACCTGGGTTTTATAATAAGTATGATTTAAATTCCTGTTTGGTACTATGCCTCTCTTCTTTTAAAGTGTTTTCATATTCTTTCATTTTTTATTCAAAAATTATTTTACTAGAGGAATCTCTAGATAACCTGGACTCTAGTCATTTTGGGATTTGCTTTATTATACTCGCCGGGTGTTTGGGTCTAATATTCACGTATTTTAATTTTGTGTTGGGTTTCATGTATGAAGAGACATTGTCAGTGTGTAGATTTTATTCTACATCCAAACATTTGACAGCTTTCTTAACGACTTATATATATATATATATATATATATATATATATATATATATATATATATGTTGTCATTCCCACAAAATCTTCACTGATCGGTACAAAATTACCTCCCACTGCCTGTTTTTTACTCATGAATCGTAGTCTTTGTAGAGTTTGTAAAGTATGAATTAAAATACCAAAATAGGTCAGACCTTGGGGCTACCCTCGGGATTTCGAGAGAATCGCCAAAAAATGGAATGTTGCGTGCTCCTTTCAAAACTAATTTCCTAGCTCACATCAGCCCAAAGTGACTTTCTATTTCTGTTGTGTTTATCATATATTCAATAATAATAATAATAATGAGAAGAAGAAGAAAGAGAAGAAGAAGAAGAAGAAGAAGAAGAATGAGTAGGAGGAGACGTAGGAACAGAAGAAGGAGTAGAAATTCAAACTATACCTGTAAAAACTTACCTGAACATTTACGTATCTTCGTCTAATCAATTTTGCCTGCTAATGGTAAACTCATGGCTGGATGATTTAAAATTTTAGGTAAATCCTTATCTAAAAAAAAAAAATTGGATGATATGCACTTATGGTTTGAATAGTTTCAGCATCCTGACTTATTAAGATTTCGTTAAAACAAATAAGGTATAATTCTTACTAACTATTCCGTTGAAATGGTGACCCCCAAACTTTTGGTCTATAGTTCAAGTGTTTAATAAATATAAAGGATTATAATTTAGAGATGAAGTTACAGAAAAAAATTA